ATGGCAGAACTAGCAGCTGGGCGGTAGGCAGGTCCTTGCCCCACCCATGGGGTAGGACAGGATCGTCCTCCCCTCCCTATCAGGGCCTTGGAGTCACAGGCTGAGTCCTTCTGAGATCTTCAGTTGTAAGTGGGAGGTCAGAGAGCTGGCATCTCGCTGGAGCCCTGGTCTGAATGCAGGTGGGGCTGGGGAAGACAAGGCCCCCCCGTGGGGGGGGTGCTGCTCCTTTCTTTCCCACCCCTTGTTCTGGACCCCAGCACTGAGGACTCACACTTGAGAAGTGTTTTTCTGTCCACAGCCGGGGGCAGCACCTCATAGGAGTTCATCTTAATGCCTGGGGGAGATGGAGGGGCTTTGCTGAGGACACTCTTACAGCCCAGCGTCCTTCCGGAGAGAGGCATGGGCTTCCAGGAGGCTGCGTCACCTGGGGGAAGGTGCACAGGGGCAGGCAGGGCTCTCTGCAAGTGCCTGGAACCCCGAACACTGCCCTATAGGGCAGTCCCACCCCCCGAATGCAGGTGAGTCTCCAGTGGCCCCGGGCTTCCCGGTACTGACCCTTCAGGAGGAGCTGATTGATGAAGCTGAGACCCACATCCATCAGCTGGCTGCGGAGCTCCGCCAGAGTCTCTGGCAACTGGAGGAAGGTCTGCTTCTCCTCACAGTTGGTTCCCATCAGCGGTTCCACGTAGGCAGGGAAGTGCTTCAGCCTGGGGAACTCCTGAAGGCAGGGAGCAGCCGGCGGTACCACCTGTGAGCCAGGGCCCAGGCGGATGCCAGAAGCTCCCGCTTATGCTAGAGGCTCGGGGGTCCCCAGAATCACGGGGCAGGTGGAGAAATGGCTCGTTTTCAAACCTGCACATCTCTCCCCCTTCCTGCTGGTTGTGAGGTCTTAGATGAGGGCTTTGCCAAAAGCGTGGCCGCTGTGGCCTAGTGCATTAAGCAAAGTGTATGAGAAAACAATGGGAAGAGGATCTTTGAGCTTTTAATCACTTAGTGAAAAAACTTGGGGCGCCTGGGTGGCTCAGTCGTTAAGCGTCTGCCTTCGGCTCAGGTCTTGATCCCAGGGTCCTGGGATCGAGCCCACGTCGGGCTCCCTGCTCGGCAGGAGGCCTACTTCTCCCTCTCCCACTCCCCCTGCTTGTGTTCCCTCTCTCGCTGTGTCTCTGTCAAATAAATAACCAATTTGGGGGGCCGGAGGGGTGGGGGGGGGCGCTGGACACGGTGAGCAACAGCTTTGGAAATTAGAAATCTGCTCCCGGGCACATGATACCAGCTGAAGAAAGGAGGTCTGTGCTGAGTCCGGAGTTCCCCAGCACGGGGTTTGGGTAGCCCTGGGCCCCGCTGTCACCCAAACCTCTGCTGGCGACCCTGCCTGCTACCCTCTTGTAGCAGCAACGGGCTGGAGACCAGACCAGGGCTGGGGAAGGGAAAGGGATTTCATTCCAGGCTATATGGATTGTTCTGGTCTCACTTCCATCCCTGGCCTGGGGGAGTCTGGAGAAACATATAGACTGTGGCAGATACTTGGAATCCCAGGGTCCACTCCCTTCTGTTCCAGGGAAATGAAGGCAGGAAAGTTAGGGTAAGGCTGAGTGCTGAGGTGGAGGAAGAAGCCAAGTGGGTTGGTGTAAGCTCAGGACCTATGGCCTGGGATGGGGAGCCTCCCGGAGGCTGAAGAATGGACAAAGAGATGCAGCCCCGAACGCTGATCACTTAATCCTAGGTCTGGGCAGATCTGGTGCCCCTGCAGGTGGAGGGGATGCAGAGGCTGGATCAGGGCCTGGGGCAGAGACAGGGGTGGGTGGGGCCTCGCCTGCAGAAACTGCTGGTCACTCCTGTTGGTAAGCAGGGTGCGGAGCCAGATGCTGTCCTCCTCCAGCTTCAGGAGCCGGTTGTGGCTCTGCTGGATGGAGCTGCCTAGCCTCCCCAGAGCAGCGGCCTCCTCTTTCGCCACAAAATCCAAGACCTTCATCTGCAGCTGTCTGACCTCCTGGATGATCTCTGAGAAGCAGGTGTTCACCTCCTCACGTGTTGTCTGGATCAGTTTCTGTTGGGGGACGGGGTGGACGGTGTGTTGAGAGGTATCTCTGAGCCCTGGCCGGGCACCCCTAGTCTTATGGCCTGGAGCGTGCCTCGGCATCCTGTTGCTAACTGCCGGGCTCCACGACATCCATGCCAAGGCCTGAGAGTGCTCCTCAGCCTGATGCAGGGCACTGTGGGGAAGCCTGGGCCTGGAAGAGGGCGGGCCAGCCTTACCGAGAGAAAGGCCACCTGCCCTCGGTGCTTCTGGCTGTGAGAGTTGATGATCAGCATCTGGTTTTCCACATTGGCCTGGACCTTCTGAACCTCCACCTGGGAGCGAGAGGGAGGAGGAGAGGGCCCTGATTCGGAGAGGTGGCCTCAGAGAGAAGCGCTTCTACTAGCCCAGAGGAGACATACCTCTTACATTCCTAAGATACCTACGTGAGAAAGACCAGAGCTGAAGGGCTGATGGCCCAGGGTCTACCCTCTGCTTGTGGTCTCTCACTCCCTGAGACTCTCTCCCCATTCTTAGGACTCAGGTTCTCTGCTCCTGACAGTGACGACCACTCGGTCTCAGGTTACAGAAAGGGGCTGTGGAGAGTTCAGGGGCTTGAGAGGCAGCAGTGGGTCGAGGAGGGACATATCAGACATGGAGCCCCAGAGATACCTTGCTGGGGGTGGCCCTGCCTGGCCCAGGCAGGCCTATGTCCCAAGTCCCTCTACAGAGAAGCCTTCAGTCTCCACCCGTTCTAGCAATGGGCACGTTCTTGTTTATAATAGATGACAGAACTGTGCCATTCCAAGTGCCTGTCCAGGAATTGTTGCTGGCACACAGTCAAGTTAAGAAGCTTAAGCCAGACTATAAATCAACACACTGCTTGCTTTGTTGACCAAGTCTTGCTATGGAAAAAGTGTCAGCTGAGCTCAACAGGGTGGTGAATGGGTTTACATTCTGGCCGGAGCTCCTGGCCATGGACCGTTCCTGGGTGGCTGTGTGGGAAGAGCGCCCTTACTGAATACACGTGAGGGAATGTCTGAAATCTAAGTGTTCCCCTCGAAAAAGCAGTACAAGTATATTAAACAAAAGTTGAAAGTAGAGAAAAGGAGGGGATCTGCCCCACCTGGTATGACAGGTTTTCTCTCAGACTTCCCTTTTGCTGTGCAAAACAAACAAACAAACAAACAAAACCAAAACAAACAAACCTAGAACTCGTACAGACAACTCGGGACCCTCGCTCATCGAACTCGCCAACCGTTTCTCATGTCGTGGCGCGTCCGCCCCCATGACCGTCACTTGGATGGTTGTGTAACTGCCCCCCAAGGACCGCTGTGCCCCGGCTTGTGAAAGACAGTCACATTCCGTGAGAGCCTCAGAACTGTGAGGTCGTGAGGTCCCGGCCCCCCCCGCCCCCCTGCCCCCCCCTCACCTCCTTGCGGGCCCGCTCCTCCTCCAGGGGGAGGGTGTCGTGGTTCTTGTGCTCCTCCAGCAGGCAGGCCCCGCACACGCAGCAGCCTTCCGTGCGGCAGTACATCCCCCGCAGCTTGCGGTGCTTCCGGCACAGGCGGCTCTGGAGGTCCCACACGGGCTCCAGCAGCTGGTGGTCCTGGAACTCCTGGTCCTCGAAGTGGCTGCGCAGGTGCTTCTCGCACAGGGAGGCCATGCACTGCAGACAGGACTTGACTGACTTGAGCTTCTGCGGAGAACAGAAGTCGCAGGGCACGTCCCTGGGCCCCGCCAGGATCCGGGAGGACCCCAAGGTCTGGCCCTTGGCCTGGGTGAAGCAGGTCACCATCTCCTCCAGGATGCAGTTCTTGCAGAGGCGCGGTCTGGAGGGGAAGCTCTCTCGGCACTGGGGGCAGTAGGGGGTCTTTCCCACAGAGGCCTGGTGGTCCCAGAAACCTTGGAGGCAGGGCATGCAGAAGTTGTGCCCACAGGCGGTGGTGACCGGGTTGTGGAACACATCCAGGCAAATGGGACAGAGGACTTGGTCCTCGAATGTGCGGAGACTGCTGTTACTCATCAGGAGCTGGGTTTGGGGATGTCTTGAGGGCTGGGCAGGGGGCTGCAGGGCTGGGTTGTGGTCCTGGGCTGGCCCTGAGAAGATAGAGCAGAGCCATGAAGAAGCCACGGCAGGAGCTGAGGGGCCTTTCAGGGGTACACCAGTCCTTCCCATAGAAGCAGCTGTCTGCCCATGGGGTACAGAGACTGTCATCGGTCAGCCCACATGGGGGGCATGACATGGGGATTGTGTTCTCCGTGTCCCAGCCCTAACTCCTGCAACACATCTTGGACAAGCCAGCGGATGGCAGAAAGAAGTCACATCAATGTCAGGGAAAGGAGCCACTTCTCTGGCCCTTCAGAAGAAAGGTAGGAAGTGGGCGCCTGGGTGGCTCAGTTGGTTGAGTGACTGCCTTCGGCTCAGGTCATGATCCTGGAGTCCCGGGATCGAGTCCCGCATCGGGCTCCCCGCTCAGCGGGGAGTCTGCTTCTCCCTCTGACCCAACCCCCTCTCATGTGCTCTCTCTCTCTCTCTCTCATTCTCGCTCTCTCAAATGAATAAATAAATAAAATCTTTAAAAAAAAAAAAGAAGAAAGGTAGGAAGCACAAGTTCTTACGTGAAACCTTCTACACATCAGGGAGGGCTAGAGGCTCGGCTGCCCTGGGATAGGAGAGAACAGAACCCCCGGGCATCAGGTGCAGGCGTCTTGCCCTGGTCCCACTCCACCAGCTGTTGGGAGAGTCCCCCTCAGTCCTGTGTGCCCCCACCCCAGCCCTCTCCATCTCTTGGGATCCGATGGCTGCCTTCATACCTTTCCCTTTGGTGACTGTTTCGTGATCTCCCTATCAAGTTGGCCCCCCTCCTCAAAGATTTCCCCCAGCTTTGTTCCCTGACATCACAGTGCAAGTGTGACCAGCCCCAGCATTCTGCTTGTGATGTCAGCAGGGCAAAAGGTGTGCCACTGGACATGCTCGGCCTCTCCATGGGTGATGCTTTACTCCACAGCCTTCACCCCAGGAGGTGAAGTTGCTGTTGTACCTGGGGCTTTGTGCATTGGACCTAAGGGACTCACATTACCAACCAGAGAGGAAATGGCATCTAAGTGGCAGTTGGATCTTGGACAACTCCTTTAATCTCTCTGGATCATGGTTCTTTTCTTGTGAATCGACAGGGTTGTTATAGGAGATGATAGTTCAAGGCCCCTTCTTGGTCTAAAGTTGAATGATCAACATTATCTGACTGGTGATTCTAAAGACTATTGCTTCCACTCTGGTTCTGATCCTCAGAAGAAAAAAAGGGATGAGCGAAGCAGAAGAGAGATTCCCATTGCTCTATAATTGCTTCCTTGTTAAAGGTTTCTGTTTCCCATTCTCCCCCACCCAACAGGATAAACGCCCTGAAAAGCTTGCAATATATCACTGTCTTCCTCCAATAGGTTAGCGTGGTCCTGTTTGTTGTATAGAAAAGGTAAATAGAAGGCATCCCTTTCTCATTTCCCCATCTCAGAGGAAAAATCTTCAACATTTCTCCATGAAGTATGATGTTTGCTATAGGTTTATTGTAGATAACTGTATCAGATTATGTAGACTCCTTTTCCTTCCTGGTTTGCTAAGAGTTTTTATCTGGAATGGATATTGACTTTTATCTAATTCTTCTTCTGCATCTTTTGAAATGATCATAAGCATTGCCTCTTTTATTCTGTGAATGTGGCAATTCTGTATTTACTGATTTTCATTCTTAACCAACCTTGCATTCTGGAATGAACTCTACTTGGTCATGATGTGTTATGCTTTTTATATATGCTGGATTCAATTTGTTAATACTGTCATAGGATTTTTGCATCTATATTCATGAATGAAATTGGCCTGGAATTTTCCTTTTATGTAATGTCCTTGTCAAGTTTTGGTATTAAGGTATGCTGGCTTCATAAAATGAGTTCAGGAGTGTTCTTTATCACTGATTTGGAAGAGTAAGATTGATATTATTTCTTCCTTAAATGTTTGGCAGTATTCAGTGGGAAAGCCACGTAGGCCCTGAGTGTTTTTTGTGGGAGGGTTTTTTTTTTTTTAAGCCTTCTGATTTTTTTTTATTACTCAAAAAAAGCTTCATTTTTTTATTTAGCTTTCTGACTCTGTGTTTGTGTCTTCAACACTTTCACAATGATTTTCTGCTCCTTAATAAGGAAAACACACTTGGTCTTGTCATGAACACACTTAGCACACATGGAACCACCATAGGCCCTGCTGATGTGTTTTTTCATTTTATTTATTTATTTATTATTTATTTATTTATATAAGACTTTATTTATTTAACAGAGAGAGACAGCAAGAGAGGGAACACAAGCAAGGGGAGTGGGAGAGGGAGAAGCAGGCTTCCCGCTGAACAGAGAGCCCGATGTGGGGCTGGCCAAAGGCAGACGCTTAACAACTGAGCCACCCAGGTGCCCCTGTTTTTTCATTTTAGACAACCTCGTAAGGCCTTTAGGTCTCATAGCACGAACTCCTTGAAGTCGGCCTGGGCCCACACCCCATGCAGATTTTGGTGCTTTCCCAACCTTCTTGGTATAAAGGTAAACGATTCTATTACCAGGGGTTTGGGACAGCCTAGTTTTGTTAGAGGCTGTATCATAGGACAGCCTACGACAGCAGGTCAAATGCTGGACCATTCTGAATGCCTATGGATGCTGTCCCCAGATGTGGAAGTGTTATTAATTACATACTCAACTTCTTTCAGCGATTTAGAATTATTCATATTGTCTATTTGTTCTTGTATCAGTTTTGGTAAATGGTGTTTTCCTGGGAATTTGTCCATTTTATCTAAATTTTCAAATTTTTTCGTATAAAGTTGTTTATAACATCCACTTATTAACCTAATATAAAATTTGCATTTTAACCATTTTTATATACAATTCAGTGGTATTAAGTATATTCACAATGTTAAACAACCATTATGTAGTGATCTATAAATGGTGATATAGTCATAGTGATTTATATCCAAAACTTTTTCATCACCTTTAACAGAAACTTTGTAACCCTTTAGCAATAATTCCACTGTACCCTCCTTCCTGTCCCTAATAACGTCTAATCTTTCTATCTCTATGAATTTGCCTATTTTGTATGAGTGAAATGATATGATAGTTGTCCTTTTGAGTCTTATTTCACTTAATGTTTTCAAGGTTCATGTTATAGCATGTATCAGAATTCCTGTTTATGGCTGGATAATATTCCACTATACCACATTTTGTTTGCTCATTTGTTGATGGACACTTGGGTTGCTTCTCCCTTTTGGCTATCATGAATAACACTATGAACATGGGTGAATAGATATCTTGAGTCCCTGCCTTCAATTCCTTTGCGTATATACCTTATATAAGGTACTTATAATGCTTATAAAGACTGTAGGATCTGTATTTGTGTCCCCTTTTTACATTCCAGATATCATTTGTATTTTTTTTCTTGATAAGTCTCAACACTAGGAGTTTATCCATTTCTTAATCTTTTCAAAGACTCAGCTCTTGGTTTTGAGATTTGTATTATGTGTTTGTTTTCCATTTCATTGATTTCTGCTCTTCTCTATATTATTTCCTTTCTGTTGCTTTCTTGGGTTGAATTTGCTGTTCTAAGTTCCTGAGATGTTTATTAACAATTTTTAGCCTTTGTTAATATTTTCCCCTTTTTAATTATTATTTTTAGATTTATTTATATTAGAGAGAGAGAACGGGGGGGGGGTGGGGAGGAGCAGGGAGAGGAGGGAGACGCAGACCAGTGCCGAGTGCAGGGCTCGATCCCAGGACCTGGGGATCATGACCTGAGCTGAAACTGAGTCAGACACTCAACTGACTGAACCACCCAGGTGCCCTGCTTATTTCTCTTTTTACTTCTATTAGTTTTGAGGCTAATTAGATGTACACAAATTTATAATCATTGTTTTCCTGGTGAATTGTAGTTTTACCACTACTGATTTTTTATTATTCAATTTCCTCCTTCTTCTCTATTATCTTGGTGGCTATACTTTTTTTTATCTACTCCTTTTTTTTTTTGTAAGCTCTATACCCAGTGTGGGCTCGAACTCACTACCCCAATATCTAGAGCCATGCTCTACCAACTAAGCCAGCCAGGTGCCCTGGTGGTTATACTTATTTATTTATTTGTTATATTTTAAAAAGATTTTATCTATTTATTTGTATGAGAGAGAGCACACACACAAGCAGGGAGGAAGGGGTGGAGGGAGAGGGAGAAGCAGAGTCCCTGATGAGCAGAGAGCCTAATGCAGGGCTCAGTCCCAGGACCCTGAGATCATGACCTGAGCCAAAGGCAGATGCTTAACCGACTAAGCCACCCAGGCACCCCTGTATTTTTTTAATTATTATTTTTTGGGTTGTTACCTGAGAAATTATAATATGCATCATGGCTTATCAAAGTCTAATATAAAGCATTACTTTTTTTTTTAAAGATTTTATTTCTTATTTGAGAGAGAGAGAGAGAGTGAGCACAAGCAGGAGGCAGGGGTAGAGGGGAAGGGAGAAGCAGACTTCCCGCCAAGTAGGGAGTCTGATGTGGGACTTGATCCCAGAACCCTGGGATCATGACCCGAGCCAAAGGCAGACACTTAACTGACTCAGCCACCCAGCCACCCTTTTATTTTTATCTCTTCTTAGATAATGCAGACACTTAGAATACTTTTATTTATCTATTTATCTATTTATTTATTTAATTTATTTAAATATTTGACAGAGAGAGAATGAGAGAGAGAGTGCAGAAGCAGGGGGTGTGGCAGAGGGAGAGAAGCAGGCTCCCCACTGAGCAGGGAGACCACTGTGAGGCTCGATCCCAGGACCCTGCGATCATGACCCAAGCTGGAGGCAGACACTTAACTCACTGAGCCACCCAGGCACACCTATTTATTTATTTTAAAGATTTATTTATGTGAGAAAGACAGAGAGAGCAGGAGCAGGGGTGGGGGTGCAGAGGGAGAAGAGAGAAGCAGACATCCGGCTGAGGGTGGAGCCTGACTTGGGGCTGGATCCCAGGACCTTGAGGACCAGGACCAACTGAGCCACCCAGGCGTCCCCCTCCCTTTTTTTTTTTTTAAAGATTTTATTTATTTGAGAGAGAGGATGAGAGAGAGAGAGC